GTTAATATTGTACTGGAGATAAAGTGTCAGTAATCAGTACCAGCGATATGTGATGTATTAGAAGTAATGGTTGATAGTAGTAGCTTTTGCTGTGCATTAAAAAAAAAATCATTATTCATTATAAAATTCTGAAATATTGTTTTCCAAATGAAGTGTATAATAAATGAGACGTGCAGATGCTCACCTGTGCCCGCTCATATATTATAGAGTGTTAGCGATGCCATTTCCGACTCAGTGGGCTCACGGTGTCAGCTGTCACTCACAGACTACCAGAGGACAGTGAAGGCATCTCTGCACAGCGGATCAGCTTTACTCTGGGAAGGCTTGAATTCCTTTAGACACCACACTGTACTTTCAGTTAAGAATGGAAGGCAATTAAAATAAAATATGTAATTCAGATGCAAATACTGAAATCTGACAAAACTGAAAATTAAGATACGCAAAATGTTTCAAAACAAAATGTGATATAGTGAAATATATTAAATCTATTGATAAAAATAAAACAAAACTGTCTTGATTATCACCTTAATAAAGCAAAAATAAGACGTAATACATAATGAACAGTTTTTAAGAATGATTCAGGCTTGGTAACTAGACTACTTCATTAATATTGCACCTCAAAGTTTTATTATAGTCAAATTATTATTATTATTTTAACCTAAATGATCTTAATCTTGTTTTTCTTGCTCTAAATTGTGTATTTTAGTTTACTCTTTAAGTGTGGCTGTTTTTAAATGTGCTATTCTTAAACCAAATCTCTTTAGTAGACTATGTAGTTACTATGCATGAATCCTTCTTAATAATCTATTTGTTCATTATGAATTAAGTATTATTCATGCTTTATTACAGATGCAGTTATTATAATATTGTACCCATGCATTCTTTTTTAATAATCCAATTTAACACCCCGTTCGAAAGAATCAGCCGCTCTCACTTTCCTCTTACATGTCGTAGCAACTGTCTTAAAATAAATTTCAAAACTGCACTTAGCTTGAAATTTATGCCCAATTATTTGCGAAGAATTTGAACAACCCACTTGCATTATTAGCCCCGAGAAGAGGAACGCGTGGCTCTTAATGTTGCTGGTGAATAGTGGTTCAACATATGGCCCGGGCTCGGTGACAGAGCAGTGCAGATGAATAATGCATGTGGATGGCAGCAGTTTGGGCGCTGACTAATAGAGAGCATTAGACCTCCAGCTCCAGCTCATGATGTATTAGAGCTGCGTTCGCTAGCACTTCCTCCTATTGTGTGGTTAGCATGTAGCAACGTTAGCATAAGGGTAAATATGGATAACAGTGTGAGGCTTGTTATTGTGGTCATGTGACTCCAGCACATGTACTAAGGAATAAGCAGGATTTTTCATAGCTTTGCCTGAAGAGGTATAATTGAAGTTAGAACTGCTAATTGTGGTGGTGAATTAATGAAAAGAACGACTAAAAAAACTACATAAATAACTACATAGGCTTAGTTAAAGGTGCACTGTGTACCAGGTTACAGCACTACGCTACTTTACAGTTCAGGTCTGTGAAGAGTCGCCCCATTCCCTGAAGGAATTATTGTATTTTTGAGAGATAGAAACACCCTTAATAAATAATTAATGAATAAGGTATCCAGAAAAGTTACACAGTGCACCTTTAAGCATCAAGAAACACTTAGCTCATAACGAACAAATTGTTTACTAAGAATAATTCAGGTTTCATAACTACTTTATTTAGACTTTAGGGTTAGAAATTAAGATTAAGCAAAGCTGCACATCTGCACCATCGGCTCCTTCAGCTCACCAACACACACATCGCTTTCAGAAAAGGTGGTAAAGAGTCTTGCCCAAGGACCCAACAACATATGTGGTCCAGTCTGGGATCAAACCTCTAACCCTGATGTTACTGGGCAAATGCTCTCACCACTACCACTGCAGAATGAAACATCACAGCACTATATTTCTAGAAGACTACTTTGCGTATACACAAACAAATACAGGCTACTTTATCAGGAATACAGATGTGGCATTTGCACATTTGATCATGTTGATAAAGGGTCTGGTGAAACTAACAGCAGCTCTTCAAAATACATGCAAATAATGTTATGGTTTATCCAGGACAGAATATGAGCCTGTATTGAATGCTCCCTGGGCTATAGGAATATCACATGTCCTTGTATACTTACAGTAAGCAGTAAGCTCAGGGCAGACTCAGGGTCAGAGGGTTTATCTGCACAAGTCCATCTTTAAAAGGAGCATTTCTTGCTTTAAATGCATTGGTGCCGCTTTCCTTCATGGTTACTGCCTCGACTGCACCTCACTCTGCATTCAGTATAGCAACTTATGGAAGGCAACTTTTCAAATATCGTCGCATTTTTGTTACGCTTTTGTGTTTCATCTTTGTCAAATCCTCTCAGATGTAGTTATTGTTTCCTGTAGTGAGTATTTAACAAAAACAATACGTATTTAGATTTTTTTTTTCAGAATAATGCAGTCCTCAGTCTTATATTAGGCTTTATTTTTCATTCCTGTTGTCTTGCATTCACAGTCTCACAATAAAACAGTTTCACTCTTGAGTGGTGAATCTCTTTTTTAAAATAAAGCTGCAATATGAACATTTTCTGGTGGAGCGCCCCCTGTCCCCATGGAGACGAGCAGTTTGACACCAGCAGGCCAAGTTACAGGTCAGATGTGTGGAGAGGCAAGTCCACACAAGGATCATTTATGTATTTTGAGCAACAAAAACACGTAAATGATTCAGTATGAGTTTGAAGGCCGAATATATTACGTAAAATTGATTTGTGAGCTTTAAGCCATGTTATAATGTTGTTCTTGTGGTATATTTTTGATGAGTAAACAACATTATAACACAGATGCCATACTGTGGAACATTAAACAAAGAAGTAATATCGAAGACAAACAGATAGCCTTTGGTAGTTACACAGCGGTTTAACTGTCTATCTGTAAGATTGATCAGAATGGTATAACAGTCAAAGCAGACCACCTGTTTCACATGTTTATATGAGAACACAAACATACCTGTCCCATCACAGGGACACAGGCAGAGCAAAGGCCAGGGACCAGTCTGTATGTGCACTGTAAACACGGTGTGCACACGCAGGTGGCCCACAGGCTTATCCTGCAACCAGAAACAGACCAGAGCACAGTAGAGAGAGGAGTGTGTGTACGTGTGTGCTTGTGCGTGTGTGTGTGTGTGTGTGTGTGTGTGTGTGTGTGTGTGTGTGTGTGTGTGTGTGTGTGTGTGGTCCCTCAGGACGTCCCGTGTCCAGTGACCTGCGTTTAGAGGGGTGATGTGAGGACAAACAGAAGCAGGGAGAGGAGTACAGCACTGAGAATTACGTTACTAGCCCAAACTCTAAATATTTTTGTAAATGTATATGTTTATTAGTGTAGAATGTATATTTTGTGTCTATTTCATCTGTAGTGAATTTGAAACTTTTTTTTATAAATAACCACTTTTGACATGTGCACTCATTCTGTTTATTCACCTACTCATGTAATCTGATGAGGAAAAAAAGGTCATATTCTTGTCTCCATGGAGATGTTATTGATTGCCCTGGAATGTTCCATAGTATGCCATTAAACATAGCCATCCAGTGTTTATTCATAAGGGTGTTTCTATTGCTCAAAAATACAATAATTGTTTCTGTGAATAGATACGACTCTCCACAGATCTGAATTGTAATGTAGCGTAGTGCTGTAACCTGCTTCTCTCCCTCGTGATAGATTTAAGGTTTAATCAATATTGTGAAACATTCTAGATAAAGCAATAACATTTCCATGGAGACAAATAGGTGGGAGACTCCCCACTAGAAATGTTACTCAGTGCACCTTTAAGTATAACTGTACGTAATATGGCTACTGAACACATTTCCAGACATCCTCAGTAGTTCATAAACAAAAGTCAAATTCCCTCCTCTCTATCTTTTGCTGAGACATTTTCAAATATATTTTAGGTGAATTTAACATTTTAAGCACTAGAATTTAATCCACAGAATAAAATTGTACATTCATTTGACGTCCCCACTTGCAATCCTCAACTGCGAACTTTCTTTCCCGACTCTCCCATCTACAAAGTTGTTTAGCAGATTGTTAATTTATAGTTTTACAAGCCACTACAAATAAATGTCCGTAGTGATAATTTATGTGTGTAATTTATTTAACAAGATAAGAAGAAGTGGTCATAAAAGTGCTCTTCCCTCTGATGTTGACGTTTCTCACATTAAAAGTGAACAGGTGATGTGTGCTTCTAGTAATAGTTTTATGGCTGGATCTGAGCTATGGGCACTTTGTTATAAACAGCTCCATCATTAACATTTCAATCCTTCATCGCCTCAGTGAAACCTCTGGGCTTTGTTAAGAAAGTTAAAACATATCTGAGTTTCAAGTTGTTTTTTTGATCTTCAGATTTTCAAAAAGTGTCCAATTTTTGTGGCTAGATTTACTGGCATTTGTAACATATTTCTGTAATCTCTTTATTGTTTTGATCTGGTACAAAATGTAACTTCTAGCTACTAAACCTGAGATTAAAAAAATGAAACAACATCTCCCCCCTGTATGACCTTTAATACTGACTTGTTATAGATTAGATTGTATCACTATATAAATTTATACAAGGCCCTCATACCAGAATTTCGTATACCTTTTAACACTATGAGCAGATATCTTCTTACGCTGTTGGCTGCGTATCAAACAGAAAAAGAAAAAAAATTGGCAAACGGTTGCTTGTCTTTACGAAAGCTTTACTGCTTTTCAATTGTGAATCTGAGGTTTTTAAAAAGCAAACAAAAGCTTTGTATTGTCTTTTCTATCTTATTTAAAAAACTCAATGTGTGAAAAAAGTACTTCAATATGTTAACGCACGACTGCAGTAAATACTTTAGTTTACGCAGTATTTGTATTACTTGAGCCGTTGTGAAAATGTCTGGATAAACGTGAATGAAAACTGGAAAGTGACATTTGAAAATCTAACCTGAACAAAATATGAGACAGAGTACGATTCTTCCTGGAAATGTTTTTAATTGTTTTGACAACTCCTCAAGTCACAGGCCAGTGAAGGTCAGAACAGTGCAGCTCACAATAATGTACAATAGTGCCCTCTCGTACTGGCAACGAGGGAGGTGAGGTAAATTCGGCTCAATGAAAAAACTTTACAACAACAACAACAGAGCGGCTGCTGCCTCCAAAAACATGTGAACCAAACTGGAATGAAGAATAGATCAATTCAAACATTTATTATAAGTTAGAAGTGCTGAACGAATGAAAAAAATCTGTGCCTTTTGGGGAACAATTTTGGAAACACAGTCCTCGACGTAGAGCGAGTACGAAATTTTCAAGCAAAAAATGAAATTAAAATTAAAAATGTGACGCAGAGAATTGGGGTACCATATCTACAGCTTCAGTGCACTATCTGCGTCTCTGCCTCTTTAGCCGCACATGCTACATTTAAAAATAAACCAAAACAAAAAAATAAAAATAAAAATCTTAAAAAAAAAAAAAAAAAAAAAAAGTGAAAGTGTCTCCGGCAGAGCATTCACTAAAACACAATATTTACATGACAACAAAAAAAGAAACAATTTAATAAAAATATCTTATAATTACAATAGTCTATTTGGAGTATACCTTCAGTGTATTAGATAGAGCTTTTGCTTTTCATATGTACATTCTTCTGATCAGAATTTTCTTCTTTGTCTTCACCTTTACAAACATTTTAAGGTTGCGGTTCAACCCAAAAAGCATCTATTTTAAACAATAGATGTCCCGAACTATGATTTTTAGTAAAGCTTTGCACTGGAGTCTGTTTTAGTCGATTTTTTCAAGCACATTTCACAAACTTCTCATAGGGGATAGGTCCACGTCTTTTTGTATATCGACATGGGATGGAAAGTTCATTTGGATGTCAATTTCGTTTTTGGAATTCCTTTTTTGGGGGTTCCTTTTGTGATTGTGCCTCCAGTTGTTGTGAGTGAGTCCATGCTGACGCCCTGTGGAGCTCTGTGCACCTGTAAGACGGGATGAACAGGCACAAAATAAGGACATAGGAATGAGAGAAGGAGAAAAAAAAAACAGACAAGGAGGGAGGGGGAGTGGAGCTGCTTGCAGACTGACTGGCGCCACTGACAAAACACAGTCCATGCTTGATCAACAACCCAAAACAATCCGGGTCACAGCACCGGGCTAGGTCTACATTCCCTTACACTAAATACATGCGGCTAATGCTAAGGGGCTGTGCTATGCAAAAAGGGAAGTTGTAAATGGGACTTCTCACATGGGAAGCTGCTAGTGGAGATACTGAGGAGGAAAGAGCACGTTTGAGACATATTGCTACATCCACAGTGGCAGTTATTGCGCAAAGACACAGCTGCCGATTTCAGGTTCCTCCAGATTATAATAAGGGATTTAGACTCTATTAGATTGTGTTCATTTTTATACAGTGAGTGTGTTAGTGTGAATAGGCTGGCAAACTCACACACTTAAATATCCAGCGCAGTGTGATCTTGTATTAGTGAAATCACAATCATAATATAACTGAATACGTCACAGCTTTTAAAGTGTCAAAAAATATTAGGTTTATAACTACTGCACTGTTTTTGTGAGCGTACACTTGTAGTACAGAGTAGAAAATTTCAAATGCTGTCTTTTTGGTACTTCTGTAATTTCAAATCATGGCCTGCTTGATGAACTCACACAAATTAATAATCTAATGAGCAGATTTTAAGTTAAAAATGTAAAATTAAAATTAGACCTGTTTCTCCACTAGGTTTAGAGAGTGGAGTTCATGTTTGAATGAAACCAGAAAGATCTATCAATACAAAATACGGCAATGGACAGTGTAATTTTCACTTAATTAAAATAGTATGTCATGTGTTTTTTAGTTTGATAAAATAATGAATTCAGTTTTGAAATAATCTATTTTGAGATCAGGAAGGACACATAATTTTTAGTGTCGTATTTGCCACAATCTTCCTTCTGCAAATTTTGGGTGGACATGTAACATGCCTTTGTCTGAAAACAGTAGCTTTTACTGTTAATACCACCCTATCATTTTCAATTAAGCGAAGCAATCTTGGCCTACAAATTTGACTGCAGGCTGCTCTACATTTTAACAACGCAGTGTACCATGACAGTTACTTTCTTAGCAAATATTTCTTTAACAAAATTGAGTTCAGCAGCTGAAATGTCCCTGTATTTTATATTGATACACGGTGATGAAAATTAATATGAATCAGGCTGTTTTTAATGAAATATGACTGTAGTCCTTTGTCCCTCAGCAATTATTAGGCTTACAATATCTGATGCTCTCCTAGGCCTTTGAAATCTAGAATTTAACAAAAAATAACCATATTGCCTATAAAGTATTTCACAATTACGCAACATACAAGAAAAGCATTTAAATAATACAATATATGTTGAACTTACCAATGCAGTGCTTATGTCTCAGCGGCATAAAATAGAGTCCTCGGGCTTTTTGACTATTGACGTCCTCTGCAAGACACAGAAGAAAGAAACACGCTTTATCTGACTGCGAGTGACACCAAACACACGCGAGGCCCCGGGTAGATAAATGAAATACAGCACACAGGCAGAAAATGAGGCGAGTCTATATCTACCCCTTCTCCATAATAATAAATTCTCTTATAGGCTATTGAATAACAAATTGGCCTTATTGTGCGCAGTGGAGTGGGCTGCGGACCGAGGTACTTCACCAATCCGTGGGATAAGGTGGGCCTCTGACACGCTCCGTCATTATCATGCAAATCAGAAAGGGCTGCAATCAAGTGCGCAATCTTATGGAGAAAAATGTATTTGTATTTTGATGGCTTGTCCACGTTTTTAACAATGATACGTAGACGAATTAGAGGGCACGTCTGGGTGAGTAACAGAGTGACAAGCAAAGCACAAAGAGGCTACAGAGGGGGCTGCGCTGCGCTTACCTGGTGGTCAATGTTGAGGACGGTGAGCGGTGTCCGGCTCGGGTTGGACGTGTGTGGAGGGCATGTCCCGCTGGGCTGTGTTTTCTGGAGCGTAGGGTGCGTCTCCAAGGCCAGCTGCAGGTCTAGAATGTAGTCTATGACGTGCTGAAGGATCTCCACTTTGCTCACTTTCTTATCCTGCGGAATGGTGGGCACGAGGCGCTTGAGGCGCGTGTAGCAGTCGTTCATGTCGTACTGCAGACAGAACAGGTCCTCCTCGTCCATCCTGCACCGGGAGATGTTGACGCTGTGCTTCGACAGAGAGTGCACAGCGGACGGATGACTGGCTCCACCAACGCCGCTGCTTGATAAGAAAGAGTGGGAGGAGTCCTGAGGGCGGACGGGACTAACAGCCTTCATCTTCTGGTAAAGGGGTAAAAAGCCAAAGAAACGCGCTACACGTTACGAGAGATTCTGCACTAGTCAAAGCTCGCAGAAGTCAACACATCCCGTGGACAATTCCTCAGACTCGACGGCTTGCAGTGGAAGCGGTGCATAGAGGTTTGGTTCATTTATAGAGGCGAGCGGAGTGGGGGGAGGCGCCAGGCAGCCGGCTGACAGCTCGAAGAGAGAGGGAGAGGAGCTGGTCAATCAGCGAGCCCCTCTCTGCCCACAGACCCCAGGAGAGAGAAAAAGGCGTGTCTCATTCTGTGTGCGCGCGCTGCGGTGGGCTGCCAGTCGCGAGGAGGTGTGTGTTGAGACAGAGGCGGATGATGTGAAGCAGTCCACTGTGCGCTGCCCTCCCGCACAAAGGAATAACTCACAATCTCATTATTTCTTTTATTTGGCATATCTTTTCACTTTTCTTAGATTAGCTATGTTCCGTGTTTGTAGTGGCACAGTCAGTGATGCGTAATTACGCACAGAATGCCGTCTGTTCTGGTACTCGGAGCAGAAGCACCTGCTTTAGAGGAGAGAGGTCTTGTTTCGCATCAACAGTCCCACAGGAGCTGACCTGACAGCAGCCAAAGGATAGAAAATCAATAAACAGCGAGATAGATTTATGCACAATAGCAGCAGGCTGCAGTGTCTGCACCAGACTGTACAGAGCACACCTTTTACATAAATTGGATGCAGTGAATTTTTTTTTCTTCTCTTCCTTTGCCACTCTTATTAAATATTAAGACAGCGTTCTACATTTCGCCTCTGCACTTACAATTAGGAGGGCACTTTGGCTTTGTTACAAGTGCTGCAATATTCATATAATATACTTACAGATACGCTCTTCATAGTCCAATTAAAAACAAAAATTTCCCAGTGCCAGCAGAATATGGATATGAGACACATGTTTTATCCTAGTTTATTAACCAAGTGATAAAATCTCTGTGGTGAGTGTGGCAGAGGTCGCCAAAACACTCATGAAAGAATCATCACACTGAGAAACTTTCAAAAAGTATAAACTTTAGGCCAATTATCAAGCTTGAATTTCACACACACTTATTTCTTATTTCGTATATTTCGTATAACTAAAATGACAATGTATTGATTAATATCATAGAGTCTGCACAAATGTTACATTTGTCAGACACTACTCTACACTACTCTAACAACACTTAGTAAAATTCCTTTGATGCTATGGAAACAATTCAAGAGAGTCCAACTAACAAAATAGTGAAAACCGTGGCTCATTATCAATGGTTTGCTAGTGCTTAGTTTCACTGTTCCTATAGTAACACCAAACTTCATTCAGGCTTATACCAAACACACTCTATCTCTTTAAAACAATCAAAACTCACATGCACTGTGCTTGGCCTTTTGATGTGGACAATGGTCAGAAAAGGTTCAAAGGGACATTTACAGTTCATAATCGTCCCTGGTGTACAAAGATGACTTCATATCCCCGCTGGCTTCTTTCAGCTGCTGACAGTGTGTTGTATGGTGCAGTGAGAGGTCTGTTAGTGCCAGTCCTTCTCCTCTCTGTGTGTTATTGTACGGGCGCATTCCTCCACTCCGTACGCCGCGCCGTTCCCTATTGAGTGTCCCTCCGGCAGACTGCCCGGCGCCACTCACGGGACTCACTGCTGCCATTCACGCCCTGTGCCCCTTCTCTCCTCTCCTCCCTCATTCATCCTTTCTTTCCCCTCTCCTTTTAGCTCACTGTTCAGTTTTAAGTGTTTTGAAGTCTTAAGAAGTAAGGGCCCCACGGCTTAAGACTTACTAGGGATGACACCCACCTTCTCTCCAGGTTTAATGTGGCAAACTTTATGGGAACCACCACGGTCTCTTCCGCCATGAATATTGAAAGGGTTTTAAATGGGTGTTGTCCTCCTATCTCTCTGTACTTCCTCCCTGGTCGGCGTTGCCAGGGGAAGGCACTGTTCCTCTCAGAAATGTGCACTGGGTCCAGGGACGACTTCAAAGGGGGCACTGGTATGAATGTTTGATGGAGGCCTTTACACAAGCAACATGGGGTATGGACTGGGTGCATATGGGTGACACATGAGCAAGCACACTGGAGTTTTCTTTTAACATATTTAAGTTAAATTTTAAAGCAATATATGCTATAAAATAGGATGATATATGACTATTTTGTGTTGTAGATTTGGCGTGCATAACTGACTGTCAAAGCTGTATCATTTAAGGTCCTATTACACTGAATTTACTCTTGTGAGTTTTGAGTCTTGTTATAATGCTGTTACCTCATCAAAATCAGAGAGTCCTAGAGTTGTGTTTTGTTTCATTCACACAAGTTTGAATAATTCTTTAGTTTTCAAGTTAACAGCTCCTTTTACTTTTATTTTAGTAGAGACCTGCAATTCCAAAGCTGAAGTCACCCTAATGATTCGACTGAAGGTGTATGGGGTTTAAAACACAGAGGAGCTCTTCCCGTATTACCACATGACATCACAAGGTGGAATAAAATGTTTTCTATTTGAAAGAAAAACTCATCGTAAATATACATCTTTAAAGTGTTTAAAACTTGTGTATGAAACGAAACACAACTCTGGGTATGTCTGTGATGAGAAAACAGAATTTTAACATTGATCAGAAACAGTGAAATATGCGCCCTTTAATATATTTTGCACGTATAAACCACATCTTTTGAACACTTCTCAGATTATTTATCACTGAAAGGCTGCCCTGTTAAGAAGTTTTATCTTTAAGGTTCTGAACCAGGCTCACACAGTCCCTGTAAGACAAACATTCTAATCCAGTGATAGTTGGTGTGAAAAGTTTGCGAACCACTCATGCTTCTCTATCTGTGGTGTTACTATCTTATTTATGAAGTACACTCTATCCATTACCCCATGTATTTATTTTGACATTATCTCGTAGCAATAACCTTGTAGACAAAGCGCATCTATCTAAAGTGTAGGGACAGGAATGTAAACAAGCTGATCTTTGACTTTTTGTGCTCGCTAACCTTGTTATAATCTATTCCTGACTGTCTTCTTCCTTGTACCAAGTCGGTGAAGCATGCGCTGACCTCAACTTCAACAGACTTAAAGGTGCATTGTGTAACTTTTTTTGGTTGGGGATCCGTTAATTCCTTGTTTCTATTGACATGTCATGGTTCTGCCTGGAATGTTCCACACTATAACATTAAACAGCTCTACCTTACAGTTATTCAATTAGAGGTGGTTTTATAGTTCAAAAATACATAGACAAACAGGCATTCTGACAGTGAAAAGTTACACAATGCAGCTTTAAAGGTCCTATATTACACAAAATTGACTTGTGTGAGCTTTAAGGCATGTTATGATGTTGTTACCTCATCAAAAACATACCTGGAGTTGTGTTTTGTTTCATTCACACATTTGGGTAATCCTGCATTATTAATCTACAAAACTCAGCCTAAATACGCAAGGTTTCTGTGTTAAACATGTGTGAATGAAATAAAACATAGCTCCAAGTATGATTTTGACGAGGAAACAACTTTATAACACAAATCAGAATACAGTGTAATATAGGCCTCTTCAGTGTTTCCTACAAAAAAAAAAAGAATCCATGAGTTAGCAGTATCTGTAGCTGGCGGTGTGTGTTTGCTTTCCCGTGCCACTCTCCCCTGTACTCTTCCTTAATTGAGGCCTCTTCTGGCTATGACTTCCCTTAAGGTTTATGGCGCAGCTGACTTGGGACTCAACGTGGTAACTAGAGACTCATTACTAGATAAGCCAGATAGGAGGACCAGTGCTTTTGTTGTGGCTACAGGACACATAGACAACTAACTCTGCTAATAGACAAAACTTGCTTTATTGTGCGATTTTAATTATAAATATATATAGTATATTTTGCTGTGACTGTTCTTGCCACATAAATGACACAATGGGCTCCCGTTTGCAAAAGGATGTGTTTGCAAAAGTGGAGGGTTGAGGTGGTAAACAGTGACAGATGTGATCGGGCTATTCCCATATGTACAAGAGACAGCTTTCTGTTGGCAGCCAGAGACCTACACTGCAGGCTCAGCTCTGTTTGGAACCCAGTTGTGTTAAGTTGCATTTAAAGAAGACGTACAGAATTATGCTTTTTAGGGCATTTTATATTCAACTATATATATATATATATATATATATATATATATATATATATATATATATATATATATATATATATATATATATATATATATATATATATATATATATATTGTTGCATGCAGAATCAAATATTACATGTTGTTAATTACAAACCTTAATATTGATCTAAAATGGCTTCCTGTTCAAAACTGTAGAGCTGGGTGATGGCTCTTTTTTAGTGTCATATCACAGTATGAAGAAGCAGATTTTCATGTTTTTATTGTTGAAAATGGCTTCGTGACAGTTTGAACCCGTCATGTACGACACAGAGTCTGACTTTCTTCAATAATTACAAGCAACTGGGAATTCTGACCACTCAAGCCTTGAATGAAGGACAATACAGGATCACTCAAACAAAAAATTCAACTCTATAATTGAGACTCTTTGAAATGTGCAAAAAAATATTGCATAAATGAAAATGCTGCTCGCCATGGTGAGATAGCGATGTAAAGGGCAGCTGCAGAAAATCAGTTCTGCAGTTCTGAACAGGAAGTCAATGATCCTGCTTCCATTATTAAGTCCATTTAGATCAATACTGTGGTTTACATTGAACAGAACGACTGGCTGGCAGTTGTATTGTATTTCTACGGTACTGCATATTGCGTTGGTAAATTAATAGAAAATATTGTTATACCTTTGTTGTGAATATATTTATAAGTGTGGCAACCAAAGGCCAGCGTGGTGCAAAAGTTCATTGAAAGCAATATAAAACACCCACATAGCCGATGATTCCAAAAGTGTTATTTTAACCTGAGACATCAAGGACATATGGCTAAAAATGTACTAAACGCCTTTACTTAGGAAGGTTAAATAGTGGGCTGATTTATGAGCACCAAGGGTTTTTTTTTAGACCCCAAAGTACAACTATATGCAGTACACTGTGCTATCCAGATGCAAGGGCAGAAGGCAATTATAAATAATCCTCTTCTAAATCTGTAAAACCATATGCAACCATTTTGAACTGAAGGCCCAAACTGTCCAAAG